TATGAACTTTAGTCAATAATTGCCGACAGCTCACAATTCATGTAGAACATCATTGATTCAATTTCCTGCTTTATTTCTTTTCAAAATCTTCATTGCATCTATAGGTACTTACAATATTGCATGGGAGTCATGTATCTGTGCTTATATTACCGAGGCTAGTACCAAGCAAAGATATTATTCTGACCCAAGATAAACCATTGCTTAATTTTACCAACGACATACCACTTTGCAAACGTATTGAGTTATACTTGTATTATTAGGTTGACCGTCTCGCATTTCCTTATTTTCGTAGTAAACATTTTGGTGAATTGATTAGCAAAATGTTTATATATTGGATAAACACAAGGAATAAAACAATGACGTTATATTTTCTGGACGCCTAATTAATTATGTATTAAATTGCTGCCGTCCTAACCAAAATTAAAACACTTTTTGTTTTCTGGTTTACTCTTGACGATACTTTTTTGTTTTGCTGTTGTTAAATTTACCCCTGTAGCATATACCACCATCGCCCGACGACAAGAGATAGAATTAGTAAGACATAAGTTCTTATCAACAATACTTACACAACCACCAGCATAGGTAAATAAATCTTGCAAAGCTCCCATTCATATACTTGGATAGTTCAGTATCCAACGAACCGTCGAAAATGTGTATGGCCATGCAAAAACCTCAGCTGCGCTAGTAGCTGGCGATTAAGATACCTACTTAATAAGTTAGACCAGCCTAGTTATAGATACTGCCTTGTATCCATTGTCAACGAGATAAGGACCCCTTTTAGAAAGAGCCTGTGCAAGATACCCTTCGTTGAACGTCGCCGCTCAGAAAGAATTTGTTCCTCGCATTGGGGGGGGAATGTTGAACTTGAACTATAGAGTAAGATGTAAGCAACAGAAACCTCTTCTGTATACCTACGCTCCAGTCTTAATATGGAGTTCATGAATTTGTTATTAACAACATGAAATAGTGGCCGTCATTTAAATGAACAATACATAAAAATTGAAAATTACATAGGTACATTAAAGTTATGCTACACAAGACCGTTAACTGCAACAAAAAAACTTAGAATTATTAACTTTTTGACGCATGACATCATAGTAAAAGAAAGCATTTAACACCAAAACGTAAAAATAGCAAAAATGTTACCTTGGCCTATATACCTACATAAAAGCTATCGATGTACAGTGTTTTGTTATTAGCGCTTAATTTAAGTGTCTATGTACCTATCTTAGTTCGACGTTCTCGCCAAGTGCGCGCGTGCAAACGCGAGCGGTGGTAGGTACTAAGTTGGTAGCGAAGATGCCCGCAAAAGAAATAATACCGAGTACCAAATACGTCTCAAATAAGATTAAGATAGCGCTTGCGACAACTTCACTAACGGTTAGTTTCAATATTCTACTGTCAGTGGGTTTGGTTACAAGCGATAGGTATTTGACATTAGCTCCATTCAGAATTAACAAATAGGTATGTAAGTTCAATCTCCTGCTGCGCTGACGACCAAAAACATGCGCTATATATGTATATAGCTTTAGAGCGCTTCGTTCGATAGAACATACGAAAAAAAGAGTACACGATATTGAGTAAAATAAATGGCATAGAACTATCACAGTTCTGTGTGTCTTTTTTTTTAAATAATTATAACGTTATACACATGCAAAGCTTTGCATAATACTAATGTCTCTTAGCAGTGACTGTGCTGTGGGATGGGACGGAATCTCGACTGCAGGATTTATAGAAGTTTCAAAAGGACCTTAGTCAGATTGTGATTTGCTTCAAAATCAGCATCCTCACACGCGGCACTGAATTGGTCATGATCACATCCCTCATTACCATTATCCTGCTAAACATTTTCATCAGGTTGCGCCTGTATCTTGCCCCAATCTTATTTTGTAAAATATATAAACGAGGAGTGTTTGCATGGCTGACCACAATGTACCCACTTCTGATTTTGCCATTTACAAAAATCACAGAATCCTTAAATTAGGCAACATTTCAAAATGAATCTTGGACTTATTCTGTTTATCAAGAATTGTTTGATATTCTACTGGGTCGACAGGTCTAAGCTTTAAAAGTGTAGGATGAACTGGCAATGTGCAACGCAGTCTGCGACCCATGATTAACTGAGCAGGAGAACTCAAACCTTCTCTCGGCGTATTGCGAAATTTTATCGTGTTTCTACCGTACATCGCCGTTATTCAAAGAATGTTAAGTTCTGACAGTGCGTCAGTTGTTTATTTCAAAAACTCTGTTAAAACAGCAATCACTATTAACATATGATCCTTCATTGTCGTGTGGAGAAAGGCGATACAATCCCATGGACAAATCCTAAGTTAAGAAGAAATATTGGAATCAGTTTTTCTGTCATTTTATTGTATCGGTTTTATTGTATTTGATTGCATTTATTACAGAGTAAACCAAAGGTTGTTCTATAATTAATTTCCAAAAACTGACTTGAATTTGAATTAGGACACCGAAAATTTGAAAATTAATCCAATTTAACATAGCGTGACATATTGCAAACATTACACATACACACAAACACACATATTCACATAAATCATTACTAATTATAGGTTCAATAACTGATTATGCACTCAATAATTATTCGAATAATTGTTTCATTGTGCAACCTTTCGTTATAAAGTACATATTAAATGTAATGTATAAGGGGTGAAGACCTGGGCCTCAATTCTGCTATTACGCCAAGCCAGTGTCATACCACTGACACGCTATTGAGATGCCATCGAGTAGCCATTGGCATCGGTATAAATATCGGTAGTTGAAAATATATTACGTTTTTTGAGGAAATGATTTATTTGTTTTTATTATAATAAATTATTAAAAGAAATAAATAAATTAAAATAAATTATTAAAGAATAAAATATAAAAATTATAAAAAAGAAATAGATAAATTATTAAAATAAATTAATTAATTAAATAAATTATAAAAAAAATAAGTCATTTCCTTATAATTTGAAAATATATTATGTTTTTTGAGGATAAAGGATCAAATTTTAATATTACTTCATTATTATTTAAGAATTAAGCCAGCCGAGTTTAAGGGAAAATCAATTTAATATGTATGATTTCTAATGTACAATCTAATAAAAATACAAAAAAGTTTTTTGTACATATTTCTTTTCTTATTTATTGGATCAAATGAAATATGAAAAAAAAGTATATTTAAAAAAAAAAACAAAATGAAGTAACAAGAACTGAATTTAGGTTAATATGATAATAAAGAAAGGTTTGCATGAGCGAGAGGTTTGAAGTTAGTGATATATACATAGTATGTATATATCACTAACTTCAAACCTCTCAGTATGTATTACATACTGAGCTAAACGATATAGACGAAGAAATGAATCAATTGAGAGAACAATCAATTGAAATGGATCACGGATCTAGTGAGCTAAATGAGTGATATATATCTTTAGAGCGAAATGATATGCATCTATACTTTCAGCTCAGTGATACATTTTGCGTATTGCACTACTGTTTCCAGTGTTGGCAGCACTGTGTCTCCAACGCCATCTTGACGGGTTGAAAAAAACTGCGGTGCGCGTTAAAATCGCTGCTTTCAAATCAGTAACTCTATATAATATATTTTTTAAAAGTCTGAAACCCGGCTTATTGGATTATTGCTATAATATGGCTAAATATACTAATATAACTATCAATTGTAGAATAATATTATAACGTGATTACACCTTAAGTTTGATTTGATTCAAAACGTACTATAGTCCATCTAATCTAAGAGATACCGTTTAACGTTTCATACTTTTCAAGAGGAATTCACAGGCGTAATTGACACAATTTCAAAAACCTTTGCCGTTAAACCATGGAATTATAAAGCAATTTTTATTTTATCGCTATATGTACAGTTCTTAATAACTAAATTTAATTTAAAATCTTGGAAACAAAGCAAATAACCAATTTATACACAATAGTTTTTTTTCTTTGCCGTAGTGTTGCGGCTCTTCAAATTAACTTCAATACGAATAATCGCATTTTTTATAACGAGCCATTTTCCATCCAGGCGTCTTGAAGTGTTTAATATTACTTTTAAAAGTTATCTGACATCCAACTGTCAACGAAAACGCATAATTAGAATTGAAAGAATGTAAGTTAATGTAATTTTAAATAAACCTTTGTTGGCAAAATCATCCGTTTCCAAGTCTAGTGTATACTGAGCTTTACCAGTAAAACCCAATCTCTTAATCTGGTGTAAAACCGATACGTGATATACTATTACACGCCCTTTTATAGTAACATGCATAAATCTTTAAACCTGTAATCGATTAGTACACACTAAGAAATTATATCGATATTTCTTAAGAATCGAAAATTGTAATAATCAATTTCTTCGACCCATCGCTATGCTTCAATCTGTCACAACTATCAAACGGTACCTCTTAAATTAGATGGACTATAGTTTACAATCGTTATTGCAATTTAACTACAAAATATACTACGTACCAATATTGAATTTATTTTAGACATCGCTACATTGATATTACGGTAATTATCAATATTACTATATTAAACCTCACTCACAACATGTCTAGAAAATTCGCACACAAACATTACAGCTTTGGTTTCATAGCATAAGCATAGAAATATAAACCATAGAGATCACCCAGAAAGAGATAGAGGGAACTATCTACTATACATCTCTCTCGTTGCCCATATTGCAGGGGCTCTCGTTTACTCTATGATTAAATTTCTATGGTTTTAAGACTGTCTAATAGCAAACTAAGTCTATGGCCATAACACACTCAAACATGTTGGGTTATTTGCTGGACCATCTATATTATTTTTATTTTCTGGATCTGATGTATAGGTAGCTTTATGTACCATAGACTAAACGTGTTTTTTTTTAATTTGGCTGGATATATCGACAACCTTTGTGCTTACAAAATTAAAATTCTTTTCATAGTGCACACTAATTCACAGCGCTTAGCTCCTCGTTCTTTCTTTCCTTTATATATTGGGGGAAAATGGCTGATAATAAATTATATGAGATTTTGGGAGTTTCGAGAAGTTCAAGTGATTCTGAAATAAGGAGAGTAAGTAACAATCACAAAAACACTAATGATCAGTTCCCACATGTAATGTCATCAATGCATTGCATGATTTTGACTCATTGTTCTAATCAAGTCAAGATAATTGTACTATTTTATATTATTATTTAATTACAGAACTACCACAAACTAGCGAAAGAATTTCATCCTGACAAAAATCCTGCCGCAGGTGATAAATTCAAAGAAATAAGCTACGCGTATGAAGTATTGTCGGATTCAAAGAAAAGACAAATTTATGATAAATTTGGGCTGAAAGGTCTGCAAGAGGGTGGTCAAGGTGGTGGATTCCCCCCTGATGATCTTTTTGGACACTTCTTCGGCGACATATTTGGCATGGGAGGTGGCAGCAGAGCGCGAGGCCCCACTCGCGGGGAAGACACGATGCATCCTCTCAATGTGACGTTAGAGGACTTGTATATGGGTAAAACGACCAAGTTACAGTTAAGTAAAAACGTAATTTGCGGACCTTGTAAAGGTTTAGGTGGCAAGCCTGGGTCAGTTGTGACATGTAAAGATTGTCATGGTCAGGGTATAAAAGTGTCTTATCAACAGATTGCACCCCATATGACCCGTCAATTCCAATCACGTTGTCCTACTTGCCATGGTCAAGGTGAAACAATCAATGAAAAAGATAAATGCCCAAAATGTAAAGGTAAGAAAGTTGTAAATGAAACTAAAATTTTGGAGGTGCACATCGACAAAGGAATGCGACACCAACAGAACATTCATTTTAAAGGAGAGGGTGACCAGCAGCCTGACACTCAACCTGGAGATGTAATTATTGTGTTGCAGCAAAAGCCTCATGATGTATTCCAACGGACTGACGATGACCTATTAATGGTGCATGAAATCTCTCTAACTGAAGCATTGTGTGGTTTTGAGTTTATTGTTAAACATTTAGATGGTCGAGATTTACTTGTGAGACACCCTCCTGGTGAGGTAATTAAGCCTGGAGATCTTAAGGGCATTTTGGGTGAAGGTATGCCCCAGTACAAAAACCCATTTGAGAAAGGCAATTTGTATATAAAATTTGATGTGGTTTTTCCGGAAAACAACTTTGCTACTGAAGAGCAGATGAAACAAATTGAATCTGCTCTGCCTCCCCGCCCAGCATTTGTTATGCCAACTGGAGAGGATGTAGAAGAAGTCAACTTGACAGAGTGCACTGGAAATGAGGGTGGTAAGGGTCGGCAGGAAGCTTATGCTAGTGACGATGAAGAACACATGCACGCTGGCCCTGGTGTGCAATGTGCTCATCAATAGTTAAATTATCTACATTATGGATTTCTACTCAAACTTCACACTATATAATTTTATCCTAGGTTATGTAAATTAAACTAAGTAGGCATACACTATACTGCTATACTTAGTTCCACAGAATGCTAGAAATATTTAAATTGTGTGCAGTGCATTGACTTATTGAGAGTAACTGCATACTTATGCCTTGAAATGAAATTTGTTGTAGATTTAAACTATAGTTATCAATTGATACTCTGTTCTTACAGATGGTGCAGTTTACTCAGTATTCAATCAAGTTAATATTCTAAAAAAAAGTGCATGTATAATTATAGGACTAGAAAATAAATGTTCAGTTTGAAGAATAACCTGCCTGTGATACCTCATAGGTCTAATTGCTGTATCATTCTTAGGTGGTGTTAAATTGTACTGTTTTAATACAATGTAAGGGCTATGTGTTTTGGATTCTAGGCACAGCTTGAGAAGAAAATGCCAATATAAGCATATCTCTCATTCTGCACTAGTTGAAAGACTAGCACTAGAAATAGTAATAATCCTTACATGGGTTTTTGGATTCCATAATATTTAATATGTATTATATAAATAAAATTTAGTGATATCTTAAATCCATTTTAATTTAATATTATCAAGCATTAGTTTGCTTCTTTTATTGTAAAAACTGTAGATTATTAATAGATAATCAATCCATTTTTCTTTTGCATAATTTACATTAACTATAATTATCCAGACTCTTCATAGCAATAAATGTAATGAAATCTTTCAAGTTAATTACCACCCTCTCTCTGTTGATGTGTCAAACTTAAAAGTACATTACAGTAGGTACATTAAGAAAAGATAAACACTTACCTAAGACATAACTTTTAATGAGTAAATATTAAGATATACATACATGGAAAAATGGGGTGTTTTTAGATAATGATAAAGGAAACTATTACACACCTCACAGCTAACGAAACGTAATTTTTTGCTTGTTTTAATACAATTGTATGCATATAGTGAGTTAATTTAAACACCGCTATAGCATATTTAAAAACTAAAATGAGAAACATGAAAAATGATAAGACAATATGTGTAAGTAATGAATTATTGGGTATGGCTATTTATCATCAAACAATTAATCTAATACTTACTCATTCAAGTTGGTAAGTGCAAGTGGCATCTGTACAATAAATTAAAGGGATTGAGATTTGTTTCAGTAAAGCAATAAAAAAATCAATTCTGCTATGGTTAAAATTATTTATTTCTTATTTTCTTTTGATAAACCACAACTCTTCTGTACCAGTTTAATTCTGTAATACTATAAATTCATCATCATCTAGTCAGATTTCTCAACTCCGATGTGTGTACACATTTTAGTATGGTATTTAATTCTATATTCTTCTTAGTTCTATCTTATCTCTTGTCATTTGTAGTTCTATCTTTAACTCATACTGATGACAAACCATCATTCTCATCTGAAAAGTAATAATTTCTTTATTTGTGACATACTGCCCCGACTCTACTTCGAGTAATCTCGAGTAGACACGCACCTTTAAAATGTATATTCACACCCACAAAACTTGTAGGTGCGTTTGTAGATACGCTAAATAAGTTCAGTAACTTTTTTTTTCATTTTTTGACGTTGAAAATCTATTATACTACTTACTATCTATTATGCTATAATTTTACATGTGAATAGTTGAATTGATGCACTAATTATTGGAGTAGGTTTCATTACGCATTTCCTTTAGAATCTCGTGCAGTAAGACTGCATATGAAACAGTGGAACAATCATGGTAAAATTATCCGATAGCTCATTAATTACTATAGTCAAACCGCCGTAAGCTTGGCACTCTCGATTGCTTGCGGGACGCGAGGCCGGTGTACAATCAACCAATCAGTTAGTGTGTCGCTGTCCGCCGGCAGTGACTGACATGAAAGCTGGACTACACGCGTTATTTTTCTTAATTGCAATCAAGCCTTTAGGCGTAATGAGTAATTTAAATTTATTAGCTAAAAAATTATAATATACTTAAAGAGTGCGTCCATTGGTACTTTTCTTATGGTTCCTACTCCAGACTGCTACAAACGGTATTATTTTGAATCATGGATAATCTGCCGACTCTGCGTCACAAGGAGATTCGGTTTCTTTTTTAATAAACGTTTTCTTTTGTTAACACGCTTTTATTATCTTGGTATGTATCTATGCATGTATGTATGTAATGGAATTTTCGAAAGTGATTTTGACACTTCAAAACGTCGCATTAAATGAAACTTTGCACACTTATCAAGGAACCGATGGCAATGCAATAATTTAAAAAGTTTATATCATTATCCTGATCAGGACCATCAGGATTAACGGCTTTTTAGTACCTAAAAATACGGTAGTGTCTTTTGCCACGTACTAAGGCGTGTGCTAAAGCATATATGATAAACTTACTTGTTACTTTTTAGTCTTGATAAGATTGTAATCATTATTGATGACTAAAAAGGAAAGATAAACTATAGTTAGCTAGCCGAGCTAAAAAGTAGGAAATAATTTTCTGGGTTAATTTTCTAAAAAGTAGGAAATAAGGTTCAAAACGAAAATCATTTTATCGTAAAAAACATGGGGTTCTATATTTTTATTTCTCCTATTTATTTCTTCTTCATATTTCATAATATAATAAATTTACTTTTACCAATATCTGGTGTGCGTTGCCCCAGCGGAAAAAGTTCCAATTTCATTATTTGAGTTTAACAGATATTTAGTGTGTGACGTCGTGTGATTCTGTATGGTAAGTAAAAATTTGTGCATACAACCATTGCGGTGTTATTCACGAAAAACTTTTTTTATCCTATGGACGTAGAAGAAAAAAAATGGTACCAAAAATTAGTGTATGACGTGAGGTAATTGTGTATGTTTAAATAAAATTTGTGCGTCAATAAACTGCGAAGATATTCAGGTTTACACTGCGACAACGTTTGGCCATTTGCTAGATTTCATATAAAACGCTTTTCTAGAGAGCTGTAGATTTTTTCATAAGTTGTTTTGAATTTGTTTATACTGTTTGTAAAAACAGATTTTTTAAAATCCATACCATTCAGAAGATATAAATATAAACGTAAAGTAAAGTAAGGTTAGGACCTAATGTCCTAGTAGTTAGTGCTTATGCACTAGGGTCTAGATTATAACGTTTTACATACCTTGTAAGCACCTACAACGTGTTACCAAGTACCGTTGACGTAATGATAATTTACCATGACTGGACCACTTTCAAATGCAATATTATGCAGTCTTATTGCACGAGATTCTAAAGGAAATGCGTTATAAAACCTATTCCAATAATTAGTGCATTAATTCAACTATGTCATGTAAAATTTCGTTTCTTTACACTAAATATTTAACGAAATATAATTAAAATACTGACAACCATCGCAATTCGTACATAACTCGACCGAGTTGTGATGGCTACAAAAAACGGCCGTGCAGTATAATAGGTCTCTACCTATGAAATTGCCGTTTTGTATGCAACAAGTGAAAGTACTTATTTTTTCAAACTTTTTTATTTCTGTTATTCGAAGTAATCACCCATGCAATCGACGCATCTTTGCCAACGCATTGGCAGTTTATTGATGCCCTTCTTGTAAAAATCAGCTGGACGGGAGGCAACAAACTCTTTAAAGGCATTTTGTACTGCCTCTCGAGAATTGAATTTTTTACCCACTAAAAAGTTGTCTAAATTTTGGAAAAAGTAATAGTCGGTAGGTGCAAGGTCTGGTAGTCACATCTGCAACCAGCTTTGGTCAATCGGTCGTCCCCACTGCTCCTTCACGACAACGCGCGACCCCATACTGCGCAACAGACAGTCTCCAAGCTGCAAGAGCTGGGGTTGGAAGCTCTCCCTCATCCGCCATACTCACCAGACCTTGCACCTACCGACTATTACTTTTTCCAAAATTTAGACAACTTTTTAGAGTATAGGCTGTTGATGTGATGTGTGATGATGAACAGAAATAAAAAAGTTTGAAAAAATAATTACTTTCACTTATTGCATACAAAACGGCAATTTCATAGGTAAAGACCTAATATTTAGGTAAGATTCTAAAATTTACAGTATAATACCGCTATTAAATTGGTACAGGTGGTTACACAATTCTAAAATAAAATTTCGAGAGTAAGACATTAGGTCGCTTGCTTTTTCTGCAACTACTGTTTCCAGCGTATTTGGTTAATGCAGTAGGATTCCTAAAATAGATATACACTGTGGCGGTATAGATATCACAAAAAATGAAATAACAGATAACACGGTTCAATATACGTCGGTTAAAATAAAAAAATAAAAAATTAGTACGAAAATACAGAAATGCAAAGGACAATGGCAGGTCCCCATACATAATTTTATTTGAACTGAAATGTTAGCGTTTAAATATCAAAAAATCCTTAACACTTGAGAATTTATTCTTGACCATTCTCATATCAAAATTACTTGCGAAAGAAGTCTAGGAAAAAAGATATTGGATTTTGAATGTTTCGAGGTTAAGTACTAACATATTGTTAATGTTTTGTTTGAAACTAGATGGCGTTGTGTGTCAGATAGCCGAAAATATTATTTTCAATATTATTACAGTACATGAAATAAAAAAAAATAAAAGCATAACATCTATTCGAGTTTAACACTAAATTAAACAAAAATAAAATAACAAACGTGGTGAGTCCGGAACTTGACAGGATCTAAACGACGACGTATCGACATTTTGAAAATATCGATGTATATCTATTTATGTGCCGTTATCAATGACAATGTATTTTTGTCATCACACTGTGTAGTGGAAAATAACGTAACTATATTCTATTTCTTTAGTGTGTTTAAAATCGTTTAAAGAGAGACAAAATATTTTAAATCATTTCTAATTATGTTGATTCAGTCACTCTACCGTACGAGTGAAGACGTGGGCAGAAGCAAATTCATAATCATAATAGTGAACCTTCGGTGAATATTTCAGCCAAAGCTATAAGAATCGATTATCGATAAAATGTTCCATAATAATAATATTGCCACCACGCATCCCTAGTCAGTTATACGTGATGGCGAATCTGACATTACGTACTTAGGTCAAATAAAATCTTCAAAAATATCTTATCTCTTATAAGACTTATACAACACATGGTGGTGTAATAATAAATCATAGAAAAAATATTGATTAAGTTTACTGTGACTCGATTTTTTAAACGCTTAAGTTTTAGGTAAATATGTTTCTGCCATTGTTCTTTAGAACAAACTAAATACAATAAAATAATTTCCGAATTAGAACACCATTGATAACATGAGTCGGTGAACTGTACCTACACGGCAGCGTCGCAATGTCGGCGACATCAAAACGACGCCGCCGCCGGCGCCGCCGCCGCGAGCCGGCGAACTTTACATTCTTATTACCTACCTACCAATCACTTCACTTGCTTTTAAAAATCTATTTATAAAGAATGCGAATTTATTCACGTGTTTATTTCGTGAATGCTCGACTAGCTTCCGACCCAGCAGTACGCGTCACTCCTTGAAAAAGTAGTTACCTTGGTTGTCTCGTAATCTTTGTACCGCCCTTACAAAAAATCGGCAGTCTGTAGGACATACACGATTGACTCCATACGTGTCCGTAAAGCAAAAGATGCGTTTTGATAGAGTTTTCCATAAATTAACATCATAGCAGGATATTCCGCGGCTGTGAAGGTCACTCACGGCATTATGGATGTTGATATCGATAACCCAATAAAATTAAAAGACTGATAATGCACTCAGTTTTACACTACACTACACACAGAACCTAATAGTGACTTTTCAAAATAAAATTAGCAGGACTCCTTACATTACGAAGTCTTGCGCACACGATAACATTAATTGTTCACACCATTGCCGTGTATTATGACGAAAGCAATAAGACTAAACAATTATTACTACAAGAAAACTTCTCTAAACAAATATGTATCTCATAAACAACAACAATATTATTATTACGGTTATTTGTCGTGAGCGCATCTACAAGGATACGGAATAGCATAAGCTCGCCGGTGGCCAAGGGCCGACTGACTGTCCTTACTGGATGAACTAATTAAAAACGCGTGTTGCATCGTGATGACGTAATAATCAACATATTTCGTTCGATTCGGGTGTAGTAAAAGCGGCAACGTGTGATTACCGCGCCGCGTATACCTACAGCTGATCGCCGCCTGAGGTCAATGTATTATGACTGCATGTACACATGATGTTGCAATTTACGAAACACAAAAATGAGTCCTGTGGCTAAACTACTGGATATATTTTGTTCATATTTTGCAAATCGCCTAGAAATTAAGGGCAGAATATGTGGCTTAAGTATTTGGGAAAGGAAATGAAACTCTCTGTATATGACAAAAAACATACAAATAATCAAGTGCCAAAATTCATAATGGGCAAATCATTGCTCTATGCAATGACTAGTAGACTAGGTCTAGGTAGAC